CAATTCTTGATCGGACAACGAAACGCAGAGAGTTCCACGAAATTCGTTGTGTAGGTACATACTTGATGAGTTAAGGAACGAAATTGACCAAAAGTTTTTTTAAAATCACTTTTCACAAAAGTTATACTCATTGGAATATACGCATTCATATTAACTTTACTTGATTATTGTTCAAGTTTTATTTGATGAAATCCCTAAATTTGCCCTTATGTAACGTCCCTTATAATGAACCTTTATTTACTCATAGGTACTTAATTTTAATGGTCTAATGACAGTTTTCTTTTTTGTAATTTCATACAAGTGCACCTTCTTCCTGACTGTTTTATGCTCCACAAATGGGATGTATAGTTTTCTAAGACATGTGCTTGCTAACAAGCTTGTTTATAATTGCGAACGGATACTTCGGACGCCCACTAGATGGCAGAATGGTTATGACGGGGGTTTTTTAAGGTGGTGTTTACATTGCAAAATTGGAAAATTTGTTTCCGCAATACCTGCCTTTTGGGTCAACATTTTTTTGGTTGAAATAGCATTCATTCAGATAAATAATGTTACGACATTTGCATGAAAGAAACATTATTTAGCTATTTTCTGCACTGATTATAATATATATCTTTCATTTTTATTACACACTAGTAATAATTTGTTATAAAATTTAACTTCATTCACAAGCTTAAACCTTTCACAACAACAATCGCTCGTACAGAAGTACATTTTTTTTACTTCGCAACAAAGTGATTGAGGAAATTGCAAGACCACTTTTGTACTTTTTGTAAACGCCACCTTATTTTTTTTCCATTGGTTCAGACGGTATTTTGCAATCTCAACACTTCTCACATAGCTTCGTAAGTAACAGAAGACGACTAATTTGCAGCGTGTAATGCAAAACCATAACCAGACAATGAGGCTACAACAACTGATTTAAAACATTAGCCCATTGATGACTATGGGAAGATTACTGACGCTCACTTTCATTACAACCGACAGAATGAAAACTTGAAACTGCCATGGACAATATTTGTTAGGGAGAATGTTTTTAGAACCTTGAATCTTCACGGGGAAAATCGCAAAAAATTTAACTCAATGAAATTCTCTCGTTGCAAGGTTAATTGCACTAAGCAACAATTTAGTCCCGTCGTCATTGTTACTAGTCTCCGCTCCGCCTACTTTTCTGAGATAATTGCAATCTTATTATTATCTAGAACATCTAAGGTAATATTTAATTTGTCATGTATCAGTTATTATAGTCCGGGGAATAGAGACTGAAAATGGACTATTTCCTGCAAAACGAGAAGTAGTTACAATTTTTTTTGCATGTCATGTAGGAATACCTGGTGGTTAAGAATCCAAGTTTTCGACCTCCCACCCCTTGTGCTTCCCCTGTACCACCCCTAAAACCAAAGAAATTTGGTTGGTTTTTTAGTTTTTCAATCATATCTTTTTATTGGTTCACTTTACAGAAAAATATTGTTATTAGAAATTGTAGAAAATCAAATTTTACATAAATTTGTCAGATACTTTTTACTTTACTTTACTTTACTTTTCGTAAATTTTTATTTCAAAAGATGCGGAGTTTTGCAGTTTTTATTTTGAAGATTCCGAAATTTCTATGTATGTATATATTTAACGCAATTGTATGTTATCTCTATAATCATAAGATTTATATGAGAAAATAACTCGATTATGAAGCTATGGTGCTATTAATTTCGGTACTCTGCACTCCTATCAAAGGGGATGATTGCGTTTGGTCGTAGTAGGTATTTGAATCACTGTGTGGTCTTACTTCATTTTAACCCCTTCCATTTCTTACAAAAAGGAATGATTACTTTAATCCCCTATAGACTATAGTAGTGATTGTTCAACTATCTAAGATTATACATATATAGCTTTCGAACACAATATTCAAATCATTATTTTGTATGAACATGAATAGTAAACATTTTTAATTTGCAATGTGTATCCAGAAATGTCATTATCTAAGTGTAATGGAGCAATCACCAACCGAGGATTAAACCACTCATTTCAGTTGGGGGTGGAAAGGGTTAAACCGAAACGAGAATATTAGAAAATATAAGTAATAAGCGTTGTACTTACTCTCTGACTAACTTATCAATCGCCACAAGGGGTTGAAATATTCATTCCTTCCGGGAGGAGAGGGGGGGGGGTGAGAGAGAGAAGCTGAACTGAGTTAAACAATGTTTTTTATTTCAAACGTATATTAGAAAGCGCTACAATCTCACAGTGATTCAAATATCCCCACTAGCAAGGGTTGAAAGTTGAATTATTATGCATCCCCTTTGGTAAGAGTGCAGGATAGGGAGATTTATATCACGATAAATTGAAGATATTTTCTCATAAAACTCTTAATTATAGAGATAAAGATTAAATTTTTGTTAAAACGTCTACATAGAAATTTCATAATTCTTAAAAATATAAGCAACTTTGAAGCTCTATATCTTTTTTAATAAACATTTCACAAAAAAAGTAATGTATACCAAAATTGTATAGAATTTTATGGTCTACAATTTCTGATAGCAATATTTTTTGTAAAGTGAACCTATAAAAAGATATGATTGAAAAACTAAGAAACCATCCAAAATTCAAGTGTTTTGGGGTGGTACGGGGGAAGCACAAGGGGTGGAAGGTCGAAAACTTAGATTGTTAACCACCAGATGACTGTCTATGACATGTAAAAGAAATTGGATCTACTTCTCATTTTGCAAGTTAAAACCCTCTATTCCCTGGACTATTAGGTAAGTTGCGTATACCAGTTGCATTTTGTTTAAACTGCTGAATTTTAAAAATGCAGACTCTATAACCTCTGAAGAGTCATTTTAGGGCATTGAACGTTACTCATTTTATCGTTTTTCTTTAGCTTCTTGTCCACTTTCCCATCTTCCATACTTTCTCCCTTTCCACTCTATCAAATGCTGCTTTTAAGTACAACAAAAAAGCAAACACAGAATTCTGTCCTATTTTTCCAATCCCTCCACGAACCTGCGTCAACCGTTCCTCTCCCTTTCCTGAAACCCATTTGTGTTTCCTTCAACATCCTCTTTTCTTCCATTTCTCTTTCTAATGAATAAAATAAAACTAAAGAAACTCCTAGTGCTTCAGAATATTAATTTATAAAATAAAAAACACCCAGTCATCCTTACACATAAAATTTAACTTTGTTCGTTGCGCAATGAACCAACATTTTTCTGGAAAAATCCCAATTTGAATCGCGGATTATCCAGAAACTGAGCCAGAAACATTATTTGTTGGACTGAGTGGTTTGACGTTTCGTGGAGAACTTCCGTGCTAAGCGTATGTTCAGAAGAAACAAAAAATATTATTGGTGGTATGTCGTTTAATATCGGCAACCGACACTTGGGGCTCTTTATAAACGCGTTAGTTCTGTTCTGCAGGTCAAGAAGCCCATACATGAATTCACGATTGTTGAAGAAATCCGGGACCTAATTTTGCAAATCCCAAAGAGACAATTGAATCAATTATTAAGAGATTTTTTTTGTGTTTCAAAGATTTGCTTAGGTACTGCCGAGCGGGTAAGAGTAGAAAAAATAAGAACCTGTGAATGGTTCTTTGGTTTCCTTTTTTTTGCTACTCTCTTTAGCAATATCAAAAGAAAAAAAGGCATTTTTAGAAAACTAAACGATGATTAAATTTAAAACCTGGGAACCGAAAAACAAATTAAAACCGGTAATTTCTAGTCTTAAAGAAGTTAGGAGTTTTTTACTAGAATTTTTAAGTCATAGCAATTTAGAAGGACAGGAAGGAGAACAGCCAAACTCAATCCAACCTTGATTTTTAATTAAAGGACGTTGTCGTGCCGAATGAAAAAGTTGATTTTTGCGAATTAGTTGTTTAGTCTTTAATTAGGCGAGGAACAAGTTTCAAATAAAATTCGAAACAGTAGCCATACTAACTTTTTTCCTGAGAAGTCACGCATCTCCTCATTCCTTTCAAGTGAACACTACAACTTCACAGACCCACCAATTTGGAACCCATTTCGGTGGTAATCATTTTCAGCCTACACATTCTGAAATCTTAATGCATAATCCGCCCGCCAAATTATGACAAAAGAAAATCTTTCAATGCAATGTGCCCGTCTATGGAAATCACAATATTTAAAAGGAAATCAGTACATTTTTTGTACACTCCGTAGAAGATGTGTCGGTGTCGGTAACAGAATTTACACATCTTATAATTTCTAACTCGTTTAAATGGGGTATAGGTACCGAGCTGTCTACTTATATACTATGATTTATGTACACCCACTGATGTTAATGGATACGTAAATTCTATTGATTTATGCTTGCGATATTAAAAAAACTATTATATCACTTACGTGTACAATATTTCATTCAGTTTCCATAAAATTGATGAAGGAATGGTTTTTCCAAAGCATAGATGACTTATTACACGTTCAACCTTAGTTTTTTATGGCTTGACAAGTCAAACAAATGTAGCCAGCTCATAATGGGTTATTTCCATTCTGATTAGGTAATTAGCAACACCTATCTACTACTAGTCGACTCATTAGCGTCTCGCTTGTATAGCGTAAATCAATTTGTTCGCACTAGACAAAAACTATTGTAATCTACATCTCCGTTTTGTACTTGGAAAACAAAGAGACCTCGAACTTCGCAATAGTTCAGGAAGTAATTTGGAAGCAACTACCATCGGAATTACAATTACCTGAATAATTCAATCGGATTCAATGCTGTGGTTTGAGTTTTCCAATACCAATTCCTAAATTAAGAGAAAATGTACGTCTATCTGATAAAACGTCGAGTTAGCTAAAGAGCGGTTGTAGGAGAAGTGACAAAAGAGAATTCATATATAAAAACTGCCCAGCAAGTGACATAAAGAGTTGTAGTAGTTATGAAATAGGAAGTCTTGGCGTCATGCTGGTTATTCCTCAAAATTTCTCCAAACAAACATTAACTTTTCCTAAACTTCCCAGATATATAACAATAAAATGAGTTTAAACTTACTTTTGAAAGACCTTTTTATCATGTACGAAAACTGTTTATAAAGTTGCACGCACAAATTTAAATGTGAATCATGTCTAAAAACAAATTATAAATCTCACACGGTTCACAAAAAGAAATTTAGCTCGTAACCCTAATCCAATATAACCCTCAGGAAACTTTCGAATTCCACACGACCGCACACGCACCGCGTACAGGGCGAGGGATTTCCTGATGATCCTTCGCGCAATGTCAGCAAGAGTAAACTGAAGCTTCCAGCTTTTGAAACAGACATCATCCCTAGTCGCTGACACCCTTTTATATGAAGCCGGCGCACATCTAAAATCGTTTATTGCTTTCCTAATAACAAAATTAGTTCAGATTCGTAGAAAGTCAAAAGTTCCGTGAATATCGATTCGCTTATAAGCAACTTCCGGAAATCTCAATACTGCAAATCTGTTTTCCTATAACTGCGATTTAGTTTGTCACCGAAACTTCTGGAATTGTATTTACGAAACTTTGACCATTGTTTAAATTCGCAAACAAGATGCAATTCGTGCTTCAACAGCTTTGAAAGAAGGGTGCAAGCTTAAAGATCAGTAATTAATTAATAACTTGAATACATCCCTATTCATCTTCGATTTAATGGATTTTAAGTTAAAAAGGCGGCTTTAATTTGAACTTGACAGAAAAGCTTTCTTACACCGTGGAAAATCCTTGAAACAAACAAAAGGAGGTTTATACCCGCGAATAAGGAATTTTAATTATTCACCATAAATTCAACGGTTTATAAAGCAATTAGTTTTATACAGTTGCTTTGGTGTAACTTTTCAAATTCTTTAATCTTTGGAAAAGTTTAGCAAAATAGGTATAATCTGAAGTTGGAATTAATTATACCATAACTATTGGTTCTGACGCATAGCCAAAATTTCATATAATATTTAATTTTCATTTCATATGAAACTGTCTTAGAGATTTTATGAATATTGAAACATCGTGGAAGATGGCAATCTGACAGTATTGCAAAGCGATATATTTCAAATTGGATTGCAAAAGTTCTCATACTTTGAAATATTTTTCCACTGTTCCCGTTCCTTTATAAAAGTGTGTCCATACAATAAGTAATTAAATCATCATCATTCATACAAGATGACAGCAGTTAAGTCTGGCATTCCTGAATACGAATCTTCCTTGGAACCAGCATTGTATTCCGGTAGAGCGATAACTCTGTCTCGAGTTTTCCAAGGACGAATCGTCCAAAGGAACTTTAAGATTGAGTACGTAGCGTAGACAAATTTATCTGAGGGTGAAATTTGTTAGTAGCTAATTTTCGGAAACGAATTTACCGTGGTTTCTGTTTATGT